GAGACAAGGCAATAGCGAGCTGCAGCTCCTCTTCCTCTTGCAGCGCTGTCTCATCACGCTTCGGAGGCAGCTGCGAGCGGGAGGAAGAGCTGGTCAGTAAACAGGCACCAAACAGGTCAGGATCACTACAGCACCTATAGGCAGCCACTCACCTGGGACTGCTGAGAGAGGGGACTGGTCAGGTACTCGGGGGGCAGCTCGGAGGTGGCAGCAGCTTTACCCTCAGCTTTCCTGTAGTCAGAAAGACGTGACACTGCAGGCTGAATGCTCCTTCATCCGCACCAGAGCCCCAGCACTGCACAGCACTGCAGCTGAAAACCCCGTTCCCAAGAGGATGGGAACCCAGCCCAGTGTGGGGAACCCTCGCTCTGCTCTGCTCAAAGCTCCTCCCTCACAGTCCCAGCTGCTGCAGGCAAAGAAACACAGCACAAAGGTACTGACTTGTTGAGATGCTCGTAGCAGGGCTCACAGACTCTCACTTCCTTCTCAATCCCAAACTTTGGGATGGTGGAATACTTGGAAGAGCACTTCCCACAGAAGATCTGCCCACAGGCCCTGCAATGATGCTGCAAAGGATGGGAGGCATCAGTGTGGCAGCAACACGCTCCTTCACCATTAGACACCACCACTCAGGCACTCCTGGCACTTCCCTGCCAGCAGCCAGGGAGCACTGCCCAGCCCCAGCACTTCCCGGCAGGTACAAGGAGTCCTGCGAGTCCCTGGGGACTGCGCAGGCCCAGGAGCAGCACCCACCTTCCGCGTCACAACCCCAAACTGCACTCGACACCGGTGGCACTCCTCAGCATCCACCCAGTCCGGAGCCTGTCCAGGACAAGGAGAATTGAGTCAAGGAGGGCGAGAGCCTCAAGGACAGTGCCTCCACAGAGCTCCTCAGGAGCTGACCAAGGTGCTCTCATGAACGGGGATACTGGAAGCATTCGCAGCTCAACAGGAACTACTGATCCCCACATTATCCCCTCTCATGTTCCGAGAGACTGGGGTGTTTTGGGCAGCCGTGATGCTGGGAGCCACCAAGCAGGGCAGGATGAAACCAGCTCCCTGTCCTGCTCACTCTCCCCTCCATTGGGTAGTTCTGTACAGGAGCCCAAAACTGCCAGCATGGCACCAGGGGCATCATGCCCCCACCCTGGGCTCTAATCTGCACAGAACAGAAGAGTGCAGGAGCTGGAGGTTCAGTAGAAGGGGACAGGAGAGTGAGGTCTGTCCCACAGCACCAACTCCCTCCCCAGCAGCACAACTCACCCGTTCTGCCGCGAACATGGCATCGCTCTCCTTGAACTCCGGGAATACGTGGCCTGGGGGGAAGAGAGCAGGAGCATGGACCTGTCCTGGAAGCACTAAGGAAAGCCTGGGAGCATGGAACTGCAGAGCCCTTCCCAAAGGACACCCTGACTTCAGGCCAGTTTCCTGAAGCAGCGCCTCACTGCCAACCCTTAGCTGCCAGCTGCGCTGATCCAGGGGCAACGGGGTTGTTCTCTCTTTGCAGTGGGATTCAGTCACCTCAAGAGGTTCATTTGGTATCAAGACACCAAGACAAAGCTCAGTATTGCAAGTCCAGACTTTGCTAACACGAGACAGGGTCCTGACAGCCCTTTCTTCTCCTGCAAAGCTCCTCCAGAGCAGAGCTGCTTGCCCAATTGTCCACCCACCTTTGCCCACAGAGTCCTCACCTTCAACCTTCATTATCTGATAGGTGTCCTGCACCACCTTGTACTTGGGCTCATTGCGGAAGGCATGAGCCCAGGCCTGGATAAGGTACAGGATCTTACTGCGGACACTGGTCTCCACTTGCCTCTGCACAGAAAGGGAAGAGAAAATATCTGAGAAAAAAGCCCTGAAACCTGAAGGCTGGTGTGAACCTGCTGGAAGCCAGAAATACCAGTCAGGTATTTCAGAGAGACTTTAGAGCACTTGTGCAAGGGGAGAGCTGTCAGAAAGCCACAGGAAGGACAATTCACAGCAAGAACTGCCTGCTCCTTCAGCACAAACATGAACACATCCTTCAGAGCAGCATGGACCAACCTGACAATGGGTTAGGATGCTTTTAGAAAACACTGACAGAGTCTGGTGTGAGCACTGCCCTGCCCAGCTCCACTCACCTCCCACAGGAGCTGCTTGTCCTGCACTCAGAACATGGGGCCACCTACAGTCATGGAGCTGGGCAGAGCAGTAGCAAGCGCCTCAACCAGTGCTGCTAGGGCTCCAGGAACTGGCACTGCAGGGTGCTGGTGCTGGTGCTGGGCTGTCAGCACCTCCAGCCCCAGTGCTCCTGCCCAGGAACACCCGAAGCTGCCCGAGGCAGGATCAGCAGGGCAGGTGCCCTTTGGAGGCCGGGGTTGTGTCACAGTTCAACTTGGCAAGCCTGTTCCTGCCCCAGCCTTGAGAGCAGCCTCTCATCAGCTGCCTGAGTGACCACGAGTCCACATGACTGCCTGCTCCAGAGGCAGAGGAGCACTGTCCAACTCTGATTTCAGCTCAGCTTGGCCCACACAGTGACCTACTGACCATTCCAAAACTCCTGCATTCCACACGTGCCACAGCCCTCAGCCTCCTCAGAGCTGAGACCATTTTATCAGCACTGGGCATTCACAAGCAGCAGAGCACAGAACGGGTCTGCAGCAGTTACAGAACTACAGAGGCAGAGGAGGACTGGAGAGAACCCCAGAACCTCTTGATCTGATCTCCTCAGCAGGAGTGGCTGTGCTACTACCCTGGGCCATGACATTGCGTCACTGCTCCTGGCTCAGCAGATCCTGCACAGAGACTGAGCCTGCCCTAGCAGCAAGGTGACAGGAGACGCCCTGGTACCATGTGCAAGGTGATGAGACCTGCACAGCTCATTCACCAGTTATCTGGGTCATCCGGTCACCTGTTTCTGGTGAAGACAGAGGCTGTAAGGAAGGAAATGCCATGCTTTCCTGGGCACTGCACTCTGGGCGGGGAGCCAGAGACAGGAGTTCCCAGTTCCACTTCACCTGTGGAAGTCTCCACTCCAAGGACACACAGAGCTCCTGCACGTATCACGTTATGTCAAACTGGCAAGTGACAGCTTATGCCAACAGCCCGTCAGTGAAAACAGCCAGGTTTACATCCTGCAAAGCTCCTCAAATGATCCCACAGGCCAACGGAACAGCCCCCGTAAAGAGGAAGCTTCTGCCAGTTCTCCCCTTGCTCCTTACCCTCCTGTGTGCCTCACGCTGTACGGTGAAGGGAACCGTTCAGTCCTCGATGAAGTGCCAGAACATCCCCTGGTTCCCTTTGCTGCCTCCCGCCAAGCAAAGCATTGCACCTACCATTAAAGGGTCAAGGCCTTTGCAGCATGTTCCTCCCCTCTCACATTACAGCCAGAAATCACCTCTGCTGTCAAAACATCACCTCTCCTGAGCTCTCTACACATCACACCATGGTTTGGCCTTTCCTCAAATGCATTTCCAGACAGTTTCCCTTCTGCTCCTTACACAAAGGGAACAGAAGTGAGGACACACACACAGCTCCTGCTGCTGCTGCTGCTTTTCCAACCTCACTCCAAAATGACAGTAAACCAAGCTGTATTTACCTTGAGTATTTCCTTCAGTTCCTCCATAGTCTGTTTATTGGCCACCTCGTCATGGACCGTTTGGCCACAGTTTTTAACCACTGACTCCATGACCTGCAGGGGCAGAGAACAGCATTAGCCTGACACGTTCCTGCCTCTCTGCAGCCTGTGAGGAATTCCAGCACACAGAGACACAGCACTGTGTGAGCAATGGGTTGCACTGGGGCAGCATCAGTAAAGCCATGCTGGAGCCTGAGCTCCCCTTCTCCTTCCCGGGGGTCTCTGCACTGCTGCTGTGTACAGGCAGACCCCAGGGAGGGCATCTTAAATCCCACTTTGCCTGGTCCTAAAGCTGAGATGGTATTAAAGACAGAAATCCTCCTGCTGATCAGTCACAGGACTCCTGTGACAGAGCTGGAAGGAGGCTCCAAGCTGTGACCCGATGCTGCGTGCAGCCTGTGCAGCATAGAAGGCTTGGGAAAACTGGGATGTTCCCTGGCCAGTGCCTTGGTTTGGGCTGACGTTACCTCCAGCGCATAGAGAGCCACGTGGGGATTCTTGTCATTGACTTTCTTCTTGATGGCGTTGACAGCGTACTTCGCTCTGGGTAAGGAGAGAGAAAACGTCCTCAGGGAGTGAGGAATCCGAGGGGAGATTCCACCTGCAGCTGGTAACCTGCCAACCCCCACCCAAACAACAGCGTTACACGCTTAGAATCACAGAATGGTTAGGGCTGGAAGAGACCTTAACATCACCCAGTTCCCCCAGGGCAAAAGCACGCTCAAGCCTGAGTGTCTCTGAGGGTTTCAGGCCAGACATGACCCGGGCCTCCCGAGGCCGGGGGGATGGCAGCCCCTCAGGGTGGCTGTGCTGTGCTGTGCTGTGAGGGAGTAACGCGGCCGCAGGCAGGAGCCGGGCTCCCGGTGCAGCCGAAGCTCGGCAGCACTTACTGGGTGTCTCCCTGCCGGATCATGTCGCAGATCTGCAGGATGGATTCCCAGTCCGTCTCCAGCAGGAGCTGGCTCGTTGCCTTATCTGCAGGGAACAAACCCAAGGGGCTGCTCCAGCGGTTCTGCTCCCCCTGGCCGCGCTCTGCGCACCCCTCCTCCCCCGCCGCCGGTGCTCCGGGGCCAGGAACAACCGGCCTGCCCTGGATCGCGCCGGCGCTTCCCCTCCAGACCCCCGGAACGCCGGACCCGCCCGGTACCGAGCACCAACCCCGGGCCCACCCCGGCTCCCTGGGCCCGACCAAGACGCGCGTCCCTCGCTCCGACCGGGGAGGCCGCGTCCAGTACCGAGAAGCCGCTCGAAGGTGCCGCCGCCGCGCCCCATCGCGTCCGCCGACCCGACCCGGCCCGGACCAGGCCAGCTCCGTTCCACCGCCCCTCCGCGGCGCTTCCGCTTCCGGCTTCCGGGGAGGCGGGGCTCCTTCCGGGGGCGGGGCCTCGCGTCTGATGGCGGGCGCGGGGCGGCCGGTGCCTACGTGCCTGGTGCTGGGGGTGGCCGGCGGCGGGAAGAGCCTGTTGGCGCGGCGACTGCGTCATATCCGGCGGGGCGGGGCACCGGGGGGGGTGCCACCGGGGTGTGTCACGGGTGGGGGGGCAGCGGGATGGTCCCGCGGGCGGGGGTCGGGTCCCGTCCCCTTCCCTTCCCCGGTACCGATCCTTGACCCGCGGCACAGCTGAGCGCCGAGGAGGGGCCCGCCGAGCTGGGCGAGCCCCCGGCCACGCTGCCCACGGTAGGCACGGCCCGGCGGGGCGGGAGCCGGCCGCGGCCCCGGGGCCCCGGTGCACGCAGCCCAGGCGCCTGTCCCCGCAGGTGGGCACCAACCTGACCGACCTACGGCTGCCGCGGACCGTGACGCTGCGGGAGCTGGGCGGCTGCATGGGCCCCATCTGGAAGAGCTACTACGAAGAGTGCAGCGCTCTGCTGGTGAGCGGCAGCCGCGCGTGTCCTGAGCCCCGTCCTCGAGTGAGGGTCTGGGCTGGGGCACACGGGCACAGGGGAGCGGTAGCCCCGGCCCCCTCCGCACGCCCGCAGCAGAACCTTCCTGTGTCTCCTCCAGTTTGTGGTCGATGCCGCCGACCCGACCCAGGTCTCCTCGTCCTGCGTGCAGCTCCTGGCCGTGCTCTCCGCAGCGCCGCTCGCCGCCGTGCCCGTGCTCATCCTCTTCAACAAGATGTGAGGAGGGGGCACCCGGAGGGTGGGGGCAGAGGGCACTGAGGGGCTGCGGGGGCTCCTGCGTCCCTCCCGTCGGGAGGTGGACACGTAAGGAAGCCTGGTGTGTCCTGGGGGGTGGCAGCGGCCCTTTGCTGAACTGCCCAGGCTGGCTTGGGCTGCGGAGACCCCCGAGCCAGGGGCTGGGCTGGGCTGGGCTGGGCTGGGCTAGCAGCAAAGCCGGCACTGCGGGCTGATGCAGAGCCTCCTCCCGGTGCAGTGACCTGCCCTGCTACATGTCCGTGACGGAGATGAAGTCGCTGTTCCGCATGCAGGACATCGTGTCCTGTGCCACACAGCCCATCACGATTCTGGAGACCAGTGCCCGTGACGGCACCGGCCTGGCCGAGGTCCTGCAGTGGCTTCGGGCCACCCTCGGGGACCCGCGGTGACCCCGCGGGACTTCACAGTAAAGCTTGCACTGCATTGACCAGGCTGGTGGCTGCCCTGTGCTCCGGTGCAAATCCCCCTGGGGAAGGGACCAGCAGGACAGAGGCCGTGCAGCCACGGGGCTGTGCTGGCACCTGCAGGATGTGGGAGGTTGTGGGCAGCGGGACTGGGGGCTGCGGAGGTGCCTGGACCAGGCTGGGCCGGCAGGAGCTGGTGGCAGCTCCTAGATTGGAGGCTGAGGGCATGTGAGGCTCTGGCAGCAGCTTTGGTTTTGCCATAGAGGGCACAGTGGGGTGACCTGGGTGGGTGTCAGGAGCTGGGGCTGCCTCAGCTGGGGATATCCCCTGAGCTGCAGGGAGTACCAGCCTGTGGCTGCTCTCTGGCACTTGGGATCAGACAACAGCCAGGTGAGTGCAGAGAGCCCAGCCTATGCCCACAGGGATAACCTGTGTCTGACAACTGCTTCATGGCCATGCTGACAGCCCCGTGCCCAGCATGAGTGCTGGATCATGGCAGTGGTTGTGGCCACCTGGGCCTGGCACATGCTGTGGCACAACCCTCCTGGGTCTGCTGGTGTCAGGCCACGGGGGCAAACAGCTTGCCAGGGCTGCGGTGGGACACAGCTCTCAGTGCTGGGGGCTGCAGGGACCACACTGATGGTGAATGGTTCCTGGGGCCACGCACGATGGGGTGGCTGCTGCTGTGATCCTTACCCTGTGGCATGGGCACAGCCTGATGGGCAGGTGATGCTGAGCAGCCCCAGCACACCCAGCCCCTGAGTCACCGGTGCTGGGGAACACCAACACCCAAAACCCACCCACTCCCAGCCCAGCAGGTCCAGGCACGGGCCGGGAGCCCCACACACGGCTGTGTTTAATGGGCAGCTCAGTGTGAAGCGGGGGAGCCAGGGCCCCTGGCTTCTCTGCCCAGCCCTCAGCACCACGGTGGGCTGCTGAGCCTGTGGTGGGCAGGCGCAGGATGACCGGCTGGGGGAAACACAGGCGGCCTTGTGTGGGGGGAAGGTATTGTCCGGCTCCTGTCCTCCTGCTGGGACATGGGGAGGGAGCTGCACTGGGGCTGTTCTGGGCACTGCGATGGGGTGCAGGTTCTGTCCAGGCAGTGTCACTCTCCTCGAAGGCTTCTGAAAACAGCCCAAAACTGTCCTGGGCACCCACGAGAGGAAGCATTATTCTCTGCTGACAGTAACCAGCCATGGAGACGGAGACAGCCCCAGCCCAGGTAGCGCTGTGGCCTATGGTCCTGCTGCACCCCAGCAGCTCTGGGCAGTGGAGCACCCACGTCCGTGTGCTCCAATCGGTCCTTGACCACTGCAGCCCAGAGGAGAGGATCCTCCACAGCACTCCATGGTCCCGCTGCTTCCAGCGCTGCAATGGCTTGGGAAGACGGAGAGATCCATCCCCTGACTGCGAGCAGAGTCCTGTCCCGTCCTGCTCCTTCCTGGGGCGTCTGACACTAAGAGGACAGATACAGACTCAGACCCTGTCTGCTGCCCTGTTCTGCCCCACTCTAAATGTCCCCAGCCACCTCCCGTTCTCTGCCCCAGTCCTATCCCAATCCTGATCCTGGCTCTGCTGGTGCCATTCTCAGGCGGCAGCAGCACCACAGATCCAGCATCCCCTGGGACACACTGGGTACCGGAGCAGCCTGGGCACCTCCCCAGCAGGCTCAGCCCTACATCCCTGGCTGCCTGTGCCAGCAGAGCAAGTGGACATGGAATGCTGGGCTCAGGCCAGCACCTCCTCACATCCCTGCTCCCCAGCAAGCAGTGGGGCTGGCCCTGGCCATGCTGCTCCCACCACTCCAGCACAGGGCAGAGGAATGCGAGTACAGAGCTCACCCGGGGCTCAGGCACGTCTCCCCCTCTGCTCGTACACGGAGTGAAGCTTCTGAATGAGAAACGCTTTATCTTCCCCTTCCTGCAATGGGAGATGCCGCAGTGAGCAGCCGCGGGACAGCTCGGGGGTGTCTGAGGTGGCACCGGGCAAGAGTCCGATGGGGCCAGGCTCACGCACGTTGGCGATCTGCTCCTTCAGCAGCCGGATGATCCTGCGCTGGCCTCTCAGCACCTGGATGTTGAAGTAGATCCCAGCTCTGCAGTGACAGGGAGGTGGGATGGCAGCACCCGGGACACTGCGCCCTGGAGCGAGCCCGGCTCCAGCCCCGCTCGGGACTGTGACAGGGCACCCCAAAACACACCCCCGGGGGCAGCCTCGGGTCCATACTCACAGCAGGACCCCGGAGACAAAGAATGGGAGGAATGGGTTTTCCAGCAGGTGCTGGTGGGCCCAGGTGAACCAGGTGATGTTGGGGTTGGACTTCTCCAGCACTTGCCCCCAGGCCTGCCAGGACTTGTAGATGGTTTCCAGCCCCTGGAAGGGGCCACACGTTTCTGACGGCTGCACCCTGAGCACACAGACCGATGGGGCCGGTCAGAGCTATGGGCAGCCCATGGGCCAGGCCAACCCTCCAGGGCCCAGCCTGCCCAACCATCCCCCTTGTCCTGCAGTGCTCCCAGTCCAACTGCTGCTGTGCTGTGTGCAGTGAGCAGCAGCTGGGCGGCATCTCCCAGGGCAGTGATGTGCAGCCCTGTGCCGGGCTGATGTCCTCCGTGTGCCATCAGGGCTGGAGGCACCATCGTCCTTCAGCAGGCAGCAGCAGTTCTGTGCCCAAGCCGTGCTCCGGCACATACTCACGACCAGATGGTGTACAAGAGGAAGACGGCTGCACCCAGGAAAGATGGGAAGCAGAGCAGGGCGATGAACACGGTGCTCATGTGAGACGCTTGCCAGGGCTTGCTAGGGGACTGGCAGTTGTGCACCAGGCTGGTCTGCAGGCAGGGAGCACAGTCCTGGGCTCGGGGAAGCAGCCACAGGAACACGAGCAGCACAGATGCTGTCCCATCCATGTGCTCCACTGAGCAAGCCTGGAGACACCGGGCCCTTGCTCCCGAGGCCGCGCTGGTGGCTGCCGAGCAGCCCATGGCACTAGCCACTCATAGGGAGGGGGCAGCTCTCACCCTCTTGATGTAGAACAGCAGCAGCAGCTTCAGGACCTGCAGGGCCGGCAGGAGCGGCGCAAAGAGAACACCCAGCCTGGGAGAGGGGGAGCGTGCACTGGGCGAGGGGCGAGCCCCAGGGAGGCAGCGGCGCAGTGCCCGCACCAGCTCTGCTCCGGCTTCCGCACAGCCGAGGGCTGGCACCTGCGCCCCCGCCTGCTTTGCTTTGTTGCCCTCGTCCCACCCGTGCGGGGCTGGGGAGTCCCCCAGGACCCCACTGAGTTCCCAGTGCCTGGTCCCAGCCAGCCCCAGTGCTTGACCAGGGCCCCCGGGGCACTGGGCAGCAGAGGCAGGAGCTGTGCCAGGCGGGATGCGCCTCACCAGGCCAGGGTCTGCCCCTCACCAGGTCAGGGTCTGCCCCTCACCAGGCCAGGGTCTGCCCCTCACCAGGCCAGGGTCTGCCCCTCACCAGGCCAGGGTCTGCCCCTCACCAGGTCAGGGTCTGCCCGTAGATGAGCGCCAGCACGTTCCGTGCGATGTCAAACTCGGGTTTCTGGCTCCTCTTCAGCCTCTTCTCCAAGAGGAGCCTGGGCAGGGGCAGAGCTCTGCTCCCACGCTGCTGCTGGGGCTATGGCAGCAGAGGCAGGGCCAGCCGGGGCTGTCACCGCCGGGGGACACCTCCCGGGGCAGTTACCTCCACAGCAGCTCCCCGAGGAGCGTGTCCAGCAGCGTGAATACGAAGTCCATGACCACGAAGCGATACAGCTCCTGCCCCACACACGTCTCCCAGCACTGGGGAAACAAACCGAGTGGCACAGACCCACTGGCAGGGCACACTGTTGGCTCATGCTGAGCCTTTCATCACCCCAAGCCCTTCTCCTCAGGGCTGCTCTCAAACCATTCTCCACCCAGCCTGTATCTCTGCTTGGGATCGCCCCAGCACACATGCAGGACTTGCACCTGAACCCCACGAGCCTCCTGCTGGCCCACCCCTGCACCATGTCAAGACATCGAGCCGGCAATGAGGCTTCTCCTCCTCGACCCTCCCATGGCTGTGAGGGGCCCTGGGACCTTTTCCTCCCTTGCACCTATTTCACAGCCCCCCCAGCTTCGGAGAGCCCCTGTCTGGCTGTGAACCCCCTGTCCCTGGCGAAGGAGCAGATGGTGCTTGCGGTGCAGAGCCCTGCTGCAGCCTTGGCTTCGCTTTGTGCTCCCTGGGCAAGGAACAGTCTGGATGCTGTGTTCCAGGGGGCTCAGAGGGGCGCCGGGTGCCCCTTGCACTGACCCACACAGAGCCCAACCCTTCACGGCAGCACTGACCTCCTCCATTGAGCAGACAACGCTCCGGCTGAGCCACTGGTAGCAGAGCAGACCAAGCAGGACCATCTTCAGAATGAGGTTCCTGGGGAGCAGGAGCAGGGCCAGGAACCCCTGAGCCCTTGGGTTGGGGGCTGAGCCCCATAGACAGAGTGCCCCGCCCCAAAGCCTCCCCACACTGCAGGTGGGGTGCAGGATGCTCCCGCCCACCCTACCTGCAGATGGCCACATAGACCTGAGCCCCGGGGTAGTCCTGCCTCTCCCACGCCGCCAGCAGGTTGTACAGATGGGGCATCACCACGTTGAGCCCAGACACCACGACTGGCAGGGCCAGCAGGAGGCTTTCCTGCTGCCACTGCCCCGCGCCCCGTGCCCGGTGGTCGCGCCGGACCTGGCGAGCAGCACAGGGAACGATGCCGTGGGGCTGCCCCCATCTCCAGGGCTGCTTCAGCACCTCTCCAGTATCCAGCCCAGCGGCAGGGTAGGGGCAGCACTCACCCCGTGCATGTGCTGCGAGAAGCGGTGCAGAGCCACGGCGCAGGCCAGCACCGTGCTCAGCGACAGCAGCCAGGCCAGGAGCAGCACCGCGCCGCGCGCCAGGCGCTGGCCGAGGCTCCGGGAGCGGGAGCGGGAGCGCTGCTCCGCCAGCAGCTCCTGTAGGGCAGAGCC